TCTACAGTACAGGGCACGCTGGACGGTTGGTTCGGACATCCCTCTCGGCCATCGACAGTTCGCGAAGTAAAAGTACTCGCTGATTCCGCCTCCGGTCCGTGAAAGAAGTTGTATAAAATAGTCTTGTCCTTCTCGTCCTTGATTTGGTCCGCGTTCAGAGACGCTTGCAAAAAGGCAGATTGAAGGTTGACTTGTGTGAAGGTCGTCGACGCTTGCGGTCGCATGACGCTACGGATTATGATTTCTTGATTTTCGTCCATCTCGATTTGTAGAGCCGCTTCTCCCTGATCCTCGAGAGAAGAGATCAGTTCGCAGAAGCGTCCGGAAAACCCGGATGAGCGCGGACGTGCTCAGGAATTACGCCTCGGGCGTACGTGTGCATAGTAACCTTATTGCCAGTGTTAGGGCAAGTAATGGTCACCTCCTGGTTGCCGTCGCGGTCATTGGTATATACGGACTCGCACAGAGTATCAAAAGGTCTCCCTAATAATACTCGGAAGGCGCCGGTGTCCGATATGTGGCACTGCAAGTACACCGTGATCCCAGCGAAGTCAAAGGGAATATTCCTCGCTAGGCCCAAGGTCGAGTTGACCTGGTTATTGGCGCTTTGCATGCGTATGGTAACGGTCGGGTCGTAGGAGGCGCCGCGGTCTCGCGCGCAATCCTTAGACATGGATACGATTTGTGAACCACTGTCCAAGATACTTTCGTCTGGACCATTGTTATTAATATTCGGCCAGACGGTACGCAGTGTCGCCGAAGGTTCGCCCGCGAAGATAACATCGGAGCGACCGCGTTCAGGCAGACTCTGGTATACCTCGAGTCGGGCGTCAATCTGCACATAGGACCCGATGGGTACCTTAGTGTGGGCGCACGACGGTAACTCGACCGTCGTGGTAATGACCTCGTTCTCGAGTGCGGCCCAATTCACCTGAACTGGATCGTCGGACTCGCTACCTCGGCCGAGATTGGGGCGCTGTCCTTGAGCATAACCCAATTCTTTGCGTTGGTACGCTTCAGTGAGCAAAGCCACACGCAGGACCTTGCCAAAATTATCGTCAATCTCGCGCTTCCTAGTCAACAATTTCCTTAGCAGGTCTTGTAGAGTAGGACTGACTCCCAGAAATTCGCGCAGCGTAATTCCGGTCATCGGGCACTTGGTCGACAGTAGTTTCTCTAAGACATCTTCCGAGTCTACAGAGGTTTGTATAGGGGCCTGGACCTTCGCAGCGGGCTTCGCGCGACTTGCTTCGCCGGGCGCTGCGCCGGGCTTAACAGGTAACGCAGAAGGGCGCTGGTCGATGGGTATAAATCGCGTCTCCGGCACTGATCGATATGGATGAGCAGGACCGGCCTGCGGTACAGGGCCGGGCTGCGAATTCGTAGTCTTAGCGTTGGGCGCCTTAGCAGGCATCGCGTACACGGACTTGTTTGGATTTTGTGGCAACGAACTAGCTGCTGGTTTTAACTGGCTCTCATCACGCCCCCAGCGTTTATCAAGGTATTGGGCGTGAATCCCTGAACCCATCAAAAACCCTGGGACGACCCCTCCTGGACCGACGGTGGCTGAGCCATCTCGCCGACAGGCGGGTTGTTGTAATGAGCGATCTGCTCCGGGGAGAGCTGCTCGGTGAACTCATCCCAGCCGGGAGGAACGTCCAAGCCTGAGTCCAGTATGACACTTGGCGGTTGTTGCGGGATGCCCCACATGCCTGAGTTGGTATATTGACCAATGTAGTTCATGAAAGGAGCGACCACATATTGGTTAACAGCCGCCTTCATTTGCTGCCACTTAGTGCGCATCGGCAGGTCAAGCGGACCATTGCGACGCGGTATAATTTCGCCTGTCTTAGTGCGGAAGCCTCCAGCGTTATCGGGTACGATCTCGCCGGACTTAATCGCATTCTGACAATCAGGGCAATTGTTCATGAAGTGGCCGACCTCGCCACACCAGTTGCAAGTATATTGAGGTCGAGGGGGACCGCGCTGTCCACCACCATAATTATTTTGGGGTCGGTTGAACGATCCAGGGTAGTTGGGTCGGAACCCACCGCCTTGCGGGGCGGCGCTGTTCGTGTTGAGCGACAGCTGGTTGGTGAGGCGCTGAATCGTCTCTTGGATCATCGCGAAGTTCTGATCGGACTTAGTACGTCCTTGAGCAAGCTCGGTATGAACTTCGGACTGTAGACTACGTATAGCGGTCTTAGTTTCCTTTTCGCCTTGGCTAGCGCGCTCAGCAAATTCATGGAAATCCTGCTCGAGTTTAACTAAGCGAGACTCACTGTCGCCCGAGTAGGATGCTGCGTGCGGGGCGGAGGCCACGGAGGTCCGGGTAGACGCGACAGGGTAAGCGTCACCAATGGCGTTCTGAGCTGCAGTGAAACCGCGGCGCCAGACTTCGCGCATGGTGGCAACAATATCTTCCCATCGGTAACCTCCTTCGACGATGGATGTGTTGGTTGGCCGTTCCGGAGGATTTGCGTTTTCCTTTCCGGGTACCTCAAGACTGCTCGACTTGCCGACCAACATCATGTCGAGGGTCGCAAGGAACTGAGGCGTGCAGACAGCGGCGAGGCGCGAGCAGACTTCAAAATTCGAAATCTTGTAGTTGCTACGGCCGAGTTTGAGAATACACGGAGCAAAGCGACGAAGGAACACGTTTCCACGAGTCCCATCCTGCTCGCCAAGTCCGCGGAACTCGCTACAGATTTGGCTGAGCTCTGCAAGCGTTCCGGACTGCTGACCCGATATTTCAGGGTACTGCTCCAGGATCGCCTTAACAAAGTCGTCCCATGGTTTGTTTTTGAATGCGAGCGCCAGCTCCTCCCACAAGATCCGCGTAGCAGTCTTTTTAGCGTGAAGAGGCGCCTTAGCAATTTTGTCCGCGTCGGACGTGATCCCGTGATCTTTGAGGTATGTATCAAGATCTCGTAGGAACAAGGGCAAGCCGCTCATATCATCCTCGTCGAAGCGAGGGGCGTCAGACGCCGTATGAGAGTAGCGAGCGGTAGACATTGGTTTGGGAATAGAAGTAGGAGTCGAAGTCGGAATAGAAGGAACGGGACGAGATACTGGAGTCGAATTCGGAGTCGGAATGATTCTGGAAGCTGGAGTCGGAGCCGGTTCTTCGGTCGAGGCTGGTTCGGTACGGTCGCGAGTCGGAAATAATTCAGAGAGAGACGGAGTCGAATCGTCGGACAGAGAGCTCAAGGGGGATGAAGCGCGTGGGCCCTGTGTCGCGGCCGGTTCGGGCTCGATGGAAAGACGAGAGAATGAAGCAGAGAGGTCGTTGGCGACCGAGAGAGAAGTAGGAGAAGGAGGGTTCGGTTCTGTGTCCTCAGGGAAAGCACCTGGTAAGGTGTCGTCCGCTTTGGCTGTTTCTACCGGACGTTGGGTAACGGATTTCCGGGGTGATGCTGATCGCGATGGGCGACTGGCTTGTTCCGCTAGACGCGCTCGCTCTTTGGCCTTTCTCTTGGATCGCTCGGATGTAGAGCTATCCCAGTCCGGTCTTAGAGCCGAGAGGCTGGATTTTTGTCCAGGAGCCGTCGTGACGGTACCCGAAAACACAAGTAGAATTGGAGAGGGCCTTAATATGACTCTCGAAGTTCGCTCAGCAGCTAGTAATTTGCTGGCTAACACAGAAATATCCCCTCGCGGTGGGCTCCAGATGATGGGATCGTACGCTCACGAAAGACGCGAAGTACAGTCTAGCTAGACGATCCACACAACCAAACACCAACAACCACGATAGCAATGAACACGCTAGACTGGAGGCGCTACGAGAGCGGGCGAGTCCGAGTATTTATATTACTAGGGGATAGATTGTGTTGTTTATGCCAGTTCCAGACGAGCTGGACTGAAGCGAGAAGTCGAGTGGGGCAATCGGACGTCTCGGCGTTCTTACGAGCGCTTTCGGGTTTGATTGAAGTTCACAAGGCGGTTTAATGCGCTCGGAAGTTCAGGCTTTTATGATGTGTAAAGTGCGGGTTAACGCGGTTGTGTTTATTTGGTGTGGTGTGTAGGTACTAGGGCTTCTCTGCGCGGGGCGGGAAAAGTCCCCGAATCGTATGTAGGTCTCGGTATATAACTTGAACGCGTCGTCTCGGCCGTCCAGACCGCGCGGTAACACACAATGCCTATCTCTGAGTCAAAATCCAACTATAACGCCTATCCGCGCGTTCTCCTGTCCGAATAATCGCGCAATGACTGCGGTTCCTGGCGGTAGAGCGGTTGACTGGTCGGGTATCCTCCTGCGCCGCGATGCCGGGCGCGATTCCACACTTGTTGATGTTTACCAAGGCAAGGCCGGCCTGGTTTCCACCGGTTCCCTTGTGCGCGACGCGGCTCAGAGGCCTGCGCGGCGGGGAGCGTACAGCCTAGACTGTCGATACGCGGGGAGTGAAGCCCTTGCCGGGGCGGACAGCGCTTGGCGGCGCCGACGCTCGGTTCGGGGTTCAACTCGGCGATGTCCGAGATCACGAGCTCGGACCCGAAGTTCCGGTCTCGGACCCGAAGTCACGTGTAGTCACGTTGATGGTTCGAGTTCCGCTTGCGCGGTGCTCTGCGTGTCTCCGCATGACGGCGAACAGCAGGAAGGCTTGTCCGAGCCCCAACAATAATCTAGATTCTCTTGACACAGCAGGGCAAGAGGACTGAAGGCTTGAGGCGCGTATAGCGCGGCTACTTGATTAAGTAGGGCCCGCCAAAGGACTCGCAGGATGTCATCGACGACGCGCAGACTCGTGATCAGGCGCCGAAGAGCTCGCTACTATCCTTGGTCAGTCATTGCAGACGGATAATGCTGCGGACTAGTTGTATTGAAGGTTAGGAAGCGTGGCGCTCCTGGTTTTCTGTGTCATAAAATACCCCCGACGCGCCCGTTGTACAGTCGCGACGTCGGTGCAGTATATACGGATCCGCCCATACAATCTAGACCAAGTCGACTATATATCGCTTGTTTATGTATGTTTTTCCGCGTTTTTCAGCCGCAGGGCGTATCAGCGCGCGAGGCGGCGGTGGTGCTTGATGTAGCTGGGATTGAGCTGGGTAAAGCGTGGCTGCGCGGCAGCCTCCTCCGTCCACATGTAGTGAAAGGGCACCTTGTTCTCGTACCAGAACTTGAGGTCCATAGCTGGCCAGTCGAGGGGGAGATCGAGGAGGAAGCCACGCTTCTCGCGCTCGGGGAGTCTTAGCTCGTTGACAAAAGCGGCGACCTCGGGGGCGAGAAGTTTATCCCAACGCGGCACACATGTCATGAACCAGCCGAGGAAGCCCAAGTTCACGAGGATCTCGTCGGCGAACGTGGCGAGGTATGCCCGGCCGTCAGTCGCAGAATCAAACTCCTCGCCTTCAAGCGAGCCTTCTGTGTACTCGGATGGTAGACAAGGTACCTTGCGGCCGTGGAGGTAGCGCTCGAACACGGAGGGAACGGCCTTGACCACAAGAGAGCACGCCAAGGACACGCGGGGGGCGATCGCGTTTGCTTGCCCCTTCCATTCCTCGTTCACTACATATCGCTGCTCGGTGGGCAAGATCGCGTTGTCTGGGGCTGCCGGCAGGAGCCAGGCGAGAATGTCGTGACCCTCGAGCCTCGAGGTGGGGATCCAGCCGGCCCACCAGATGTCGCCTTCCGGCCATGCGTGATAAGGGGAAGCGATGCTGAAGTGCGAGGCTGAGAAGCGCTTGGACGGGTCGACTAGATCCAGGTCGAGCGAGGACGGGCCAACGGACACCCAGTCTCGATCGTCCTTCGTAGTCTTGAAACGAGGCCCGTTGTTGACGTCGTAGATAGGCAGGAAGGGGTCGAAGACATCCATGACGGGCAAATTGGTTTGAACGGTAACCGTATCGCACCAATATTCGCTCGGGCGTTTGGACGGAATCCGTACCGCGCGCGGGAGCGTAGGAGATGGAGGGGAGAGAAGAGAGCGTCCTAGGTCGAGCCGTCATGAGAAGAAGCAATAATTAAGCGAGGGGTCGTGTGCTACATGCGGGGAGCAGGAGGCCCTCTGTCCCGGCCCGCGATCCGTGATAATCGATACAGTATGTACTCGGCGCTATCCGAATCGAACCGTGATGTGTCACAGTCCGTGTTCTAGCTTGTACTCGGCGACGCGTTCTGGCGCGTTGCGAAGATCGCGCTCGGTCTGCCAGGTGTCGTGTTCCCAGCCATAGCCGACCCATCTGACCTTGAAGCGCAGTTAAGTCCCCTTCTTCAGCCGCTTATGACCCACGATCTTCTCAACGTGATACTCCTCCGAAGGGATCTTGCTGGTACGGGTGGTAGGCAGTTTGACGCGACGATCCTCAAAGTCCGAGTTCCCCTTGAAGTACGGCTTCAAGTGCTCGATATTGAATACTGGCGCTCCCGGGTAAGTGTCGTCCATTTTGAGGCGATAAACGCTATTGTTGATTTTCTGGATCACCTCGAACGGTCCTATCCAGCGTTGCGTGAGCTTCGCTTTTCCTTTGGACTCGACCCATTCCATGGAGTGTGGGTTGACAAGCACTAAGTCCCCTTGTTTGAAGGCAGGAGGAGGCCGCCGGCCCTTGTTGTAGGCTCGCGCTTGCTCATCCTGGGCGGCCGCTATCGCATCGCGAGCAGCTTCCCTCCTAATCCTCAAGTCGGCGAAGAATTCCTTAGTTTCGGTGAGTCGAGAGGCGCCGTCCTTCCCTGTGGAGTTTTCGTTCGCGCGGTCGAGCATTGATTGCGGCTGATAGCCCATGAGCAGCATGAACGGCGACTCGCCCGTCGAGCGGTGCACTGATGAGTTATAGACGAACTCCATCATGAATAGGTAGGCCGCCCACGCGCTCGGATCCTTTGCGGTGTAGGCTCGGAGCATTGTCTCCAGGAACCGATTGACCACTTCAGTCTGGCCATCCATCTGCGCGTGGTGCGCGGAGGACATAAGGAGCGTTGACTTCATTTCGCTCGCGACGTCGCGCCAGAAATCCGACGTCCAGCGCGGGTCCTTGTCCGACACTATACTCGCTGGTAAGCCGTGTTTTGCTACGATCTCCTTCACGAATAACTTCGCCGTTCGCTTGCGATCGATGGTCGTGTTCGTTGGAATGAAGTGCGCGTGTTTTGTCAAGCGGTCGACCACCACCAGGATAGCGTTGTAGCCGTCCGACGTAGGGAGGTCCATGATGAAGTCCATCGATATGGACTCGTACGGCGCCTGCGGGATCGGATTGGGAATCAAGGTGCCGTACTTCTTGAATCTTGCGTGCTTATTCTTTTGACAAGCGTCGCAGGTCTTGCAGAAGAGCTTGAGGGTCCTCTTCATTCGCTTCCAGTAGAACTTGGGGTGCAGCCTCGCCCAGAGTTTTGCCATGCCGGTATGTCCCCCTTCCATAGGCTCTTCGTGTGCGCTGATGAGGATATCACCTATGAGCCGGTCGGGAACGCATAGTCGCGGCAAGTAGTCCGCATCTAAGAAGAACAGTAGACCGTCGTCTGACTTGTAGTAGCGCCGGCCTGGAGTCCAGCCCGCCGTGACCGTGTCGGCCTCCTTGTATCGCGTCCTCCAGTACGCCTCCTCCGTATAGGCGCGTCGGAATCGGGTCTTCAGTTCCTCGCTAAGGTGTGACAGGAGGGCTGGAGGGCGCGCAAATGCCGGTTCATAGAGAGGGTTGACCGGCGCTTCGAGTAAGTCTCGCTCGTCACTGTCGTTCGACTTGACTGACTTCTGGTCTTCTTCCACATCGTCGCCCACATCTTTGGGTTCCGGCGGCTGGGCGTCTTGCGAATCCTCCGCCTCTGCGCTCGTTCTCTGCGCGTCTACTAGCTCCGCCCCCCGGTTCGCGAGGCGGCTAGAACGTCGAACCGCAAAGGCAGCGGGCGCTTCCTCCAGCAGGTCGCCGTAGGAATAGCAGGCGAAGGCGCGTGGCGCTGCAGCTCTACTCGCCAGCTCCTCCTGGAGAGTCGCAATGGCTGAGTCCGTACGGAGGGCTTCCGAGTCCGGCGATCGTGGCGTCAGATAGCTCGGCGGGTCTCGTGGAATCCTACTGAGTGGGTCGACGTTTGAGTGAGTTCTTCCCGCGCGGTGTATGATTTCGAGTCCCGGTTGATAGCTCGAGAAGATCATGCCCCACGACGCGAGTCGTCTATTGCTATTTTCATACGTTCGCGCCCACTGCAGGGCGCTGTGATCCGTGATGAGCAGGATCTTCGCGCCTTCCAGGTAGGGCTGGAATTTGACAAGCGCTTCCTTCGCTGCTAACGCCTCTCTTTCCGTAGTGCTGTATCGAGCTTCAGCGCCTCTGAAGGTGCGCGACCAGTAGGCGACAACGCGTTCGGCCTGCACTATCGTGTCGTCTAAGGTCGCCCCCCATTGCCCAGCCTCGGGTACGTCATCGGTCTTCGTGCTGATTCTTGAGACTAATGTCGGCACCGGCTTCCTCGCGTCGTACGCCTCCCTGATCTTCTCGTAGACTTTCGTGCCCTTGAGATCGCCCACACGTATGGGTTGCACCTGCTGCAGAGCCGACCCCAGAGCGTGTCCCGAGGCGTCCGTGTACAGGCGGTACGGAAGGCCCTCAACGGGGTGACCTAGGACCGGTGCGCGCTGTAGCGCAGTCTTTGCCTGTAGAAAGGCGTACTCCTCGTCCTCGCCCCAGCGCCAAGGAGTGTTCTTCTTCAGGAGAGAGTGCAAGGGACCGCAGACGTCCGCATAATATGGAATGAAGGAGTTGAAGTAGACTAGCATCCCGAGGAACGTTTGGAGTTCGGACACGCAGGTCGGCCTCTTCATCTCCAGCACCGCTCTGACCTTCTCATAGTGAGTAGACAACCCTAGGCGCGACACCTTATGGCCGAGGAGGATAATCGAATCGTAGAATAGGTGACACTTGGTCGGTGAGAGCGTTATATTTGCACCTTCGATGGCTTCCAAAACCTTGTCCAGATGTTCGATATGGTCCTCAAACGACTTCGAATAAACCACGATGTCGTCGATGTACACCAGCGAGAATAGCCAAAGGTATGGCGCCAAGACCGATTGCATCACGCGTTGAAATATAGAGGGTCCATTCCTCAACCCAAAAGGCATACGCTTGAACTGGAAGAGCCCTCGGTGAGTGCGGAAGGCCGTTTTTTCCACGTCGCGGGGATCCAAGTGCAGTTGGGTGAAGCCTGACAGCGCGTCCAGGGAGGACAGGACTTGCGCCCCCGAGAGCGAGGCCAGGATTTCCTGCTGGCGAGGAATGGGAAATTCATCCGGGATTGTCATCGCATTGAGACGCCGGTAGTCAACGCAGAAGCGCGGTTTGCCATTGCGATACGCGATTACCACGGGCGCACTCCAAGGACTTCGTGAGTCTTCTATCACATCTTGCTCGAACCATTTGTTGATCTGTTCGTCCATGACCTCCTTCTTGGCTGGGGAGGTCCCGTACATGGGTACGGCGACCGGCCGCGCGTCTTCCTTGACTCGAATCTGCGCCATCGCCGGGTGATTGCCTAGCCGGCCGTCCAGGGCAAACGCGCCTTTGCGGCGCTCGAGCATGCGCCAGGCTCGTTCGCGTAGGTGCTCCGGTAAGCAGCCTACGTCTAGTACCTTCCTGAAGTCGCTCAAGCTGACCTCTTCAGCCTCGGGAAGCTCGGCGGTCTTCGGACCGCAAGGCTCGCGAACTGGCTCCTCCGCATCCTGGTCCTTCTGCTGCTGGAAGGAGTCGTTCCACGCAGCGTACGACTCAGCATCCGGCATGGGAAAGGTGCGCTCCCCCTTCTTCCACGCTTCGTAGCTGACCGCTTCGGGCATGCAAAATCGGGAAGACGCAGAGCTCGCACGCCTCGTCCGCTCGGGAGCTGAAGGGGATTCGTCCTGCCCTTGCGCGTCCCCACCTTGCGGGCTTTGAGCGTCCGGCACCTGCACGGCTCGGCTTAGCTTGGAAACGAGGGCGGCGTGCGCTTGGTGGCGACGCAGATCCTCATCGCTCTTGGGCTTGTCGAAGAAGTCTTGTGCTCTTTCGACAGTGGCTAGCGCCTCCCCTTCCTGGATAACTCTGGGAGTCGTTGACAAGTTGGCGATCGGGAGAGTCGGTCGCGACGAAGATAGCAGCACGTTAGGGACCGCAAAGGGGCGTTGTTCACCAGAGGTGAGCAGACTCCGCTCCACTATCCAATCTCCCGGCGTGTCAAAAGGGCCTGAGACAGGAATGTTGACCACCGTTTCCGGACGAATGATCACCTTACGTGCCGCGCGGAGGGTATTGTCGCAGAGAGTCGCTCGCCTCGCCCTGGCGCGTCGGGCTCCCTTGAGATGCTGCCTGTGCGCCTTCTTGAGCCAGCCATGCACGGGCTTCTCTCCCACATATGCGCGCTCGACTTCGTCGTAATCCGATGTCCTCTGCGTTCCATGTGCGGTAATGGGCGACGGGAGTTGACCAAAGGTGATAGTCGTCCCTTCCTCTAGGCTCCTATTGACTGATACCTCGTATTTCTGCTGGAAATCTTCGCCCAAGAGGATGGGGACCGTCATCCCGTCCACCACGTACAGCTCGGCTTCAGCTTCTAACAGAGTCCCGTCGTCTGCTCTCATGAGCACCGGCTGATGAATATATCCTCGAATGCTGACCGTCTTGTCAGTGAGCTGCCACAACCGCATCTTCGCGCCCTGCTTCAGCGGCGGCGGGTTCTTCATCGAGTCATAGGTTGCCCCGGAGATCAGCGACAGGCTAGCGCAGGAGTCGAAGCGCAGGAGGACTCGCACTTCCCCCTCAGAGCCCAGGAATCCGAAAACGCAAAGGACGGCCGACCCCTTTCCACTGAGAGACTTGACTTTCTTTCGCGCTATGAGCCGCACCTTGGGGGGCTCGTAGGGCCGAGGATCGGGTAGCGTGCGCCCCGCGTCGGGAGGTCTATCCGTTGGTTCGGGAGCCGGTTCGGTGGTAAGGGCTTCAGCGCGCACACCCTCTGCTAGCGTCTCGCTAATCGCCCCCCATCGTTCTCTCACCGGCTCGCTCACCTCATCGACGTGCTCGAGCAAGTGCGGGGAGTCGGTCGGCAGCATCTCGCCTCGATACCAGTATTCCTCGCCGACTTCTTCTACAGTCACCGCAAAGCTTTGATGTTTTACCTCGTAAACCTCACGCCTACCGTCGCTCATTTCCTTCGGGTCCTTTCCCATGTCTTCCTCCGCCTTACGGTCCTCGGTCTGGGTCTTACGCTCGTCGCTCGCCTTCGTCAGCGAGGATTCGGGAGCCGCCCGCTCAAAACCCTGGGACACGACCGAGTACGCCGCGTTGTACGCTCGATCCCCTTCGGGGTCCGAGTTGACGAGGAACCCTTCCTTCTTCTGCTGGAGTAGGAACTGCTGCCAGTGCGGGCAGTCACGATTCCAATGCTTGCGACTACCGCACGCGCGGCACGGCGAGGGAGGGGGCTTCCGGCTCACTATCGAGTCTCGAGGGGGGAAAGCGTAGGTCTGAGGAGCGCTGTTCTTGCTCTTGGCGACGGCGACGTTGTAGGCGACGGCGAACAGCTCATCCGCCATGCTCGGCTCTGAGTCCTCGAGAGACGCGGCCTCGGGGGCTCCCTCGCAATCGCCGGGCTGTTCGTGAGGCTCGATCTCGGCCTCGTACGCGACTGGTCCTCGCGCCGATGGCAAGCGTCTGCGGCCTTCGGGAGTAAGCCGCCCCCATTCCTTCAGAATGGAGGTAACTTGGGCCCGCAGATCTTGATTGGCTGAGGCGGTGGACGTGGCGAGAGACCTTTCGTGTTGAATGACTCGCGCTTTGAGTTCGTTGGTCGAGCCTATGGTCGAGGGAACGAGCTTAGTGTCCCAGTCGGCTGGAGCGACACTCAGCAGGAGCTTAACCTCCTCAACTGTGTTCTCGACTGCAAACCCGAGCGAGCGAGCATCTAGGATGCGACGATTGATGAAGCTGGATGGCGACTCGTGACGGTGCTTAGGCTCACGGAAAGATTGCAGCTGGAAGTCAACAGCCATGTCTTTCATCCATTGCGCGCCTAGGTATTGCTGCTTAATGATATCAATGAAATTGTACGCGTCACTTTTCATGTAAAGCTTGGTGCCCTCCGACAACGTCAAGAACCAAAGCATCACCGGCGAGTTCTTCTCGAAGCGCAGCCAGGCCCAATGAGCGACCGATTGCCGCAGGTTCCCGCCGCTGTTGGCGATCTCAAAGAAAGACCAGACGTAGTTGACAGCGGTCTTGCGGTCGCCATCCCACGAGGGTATCACGTCCATTTTCAGGTTAGACTGTATGCTAGGATTGCTCGCGCCCCCCGAAACTGACGAGACTCCCGCACCAGGCGGCCCGCCACCTCCGCTGCCCCCCAAGCTCGCTTGTAAAGGCGGCGGAGGAGGAGGAGGTGCACCGGCTGCACTAGGACCGCTAGGGGGTCCCCCGGGAGGCCATCCTGGGGGCGGCGCTGCAGGCGGAGGAAGCTGTTGAGAAGGCCAGCTCACGCTGGGCCCCGTCGGCGGCGCAGGCGGTCCCGATCCAGCGCCTGCTCCTCCATTAGCTGGAGGCTGTGAAAAGGTCCAGTTTGGCGTCTGTGGGAGCCCTTTCTCCTTGCGATGGGAGTGAGGAGTCGGCAACCGCGACGAGATGGATGCTGCCGCGTTAAGCAGAGTCTGTTGACCATAATGGCTCCCTGGCGCGAGTGAAGCTCCTGGGTTCGATGCGGACGAGAGGGTGCGTTGAAGACCCATACCCCAGTATGGCTGCCCGGGAGGAGGCCCCGAACCCGGCGAGAAGATCCCGTGCGCGGAGACGGACGGAGCAGGCAGTGGTCGTTCGCGCCAGTTTTCCGGTGACGCGCCCTCCTTGAATCGCGTCGAGCGCCCTCGGCTGACGCTGCGAGTAGGTCCCGGCACCGAGGGGTCGTTCGCGTCTGGTTGGGGGACGCGGTGTCCTTTGCCTATCTTCTGCTTCTTTGCGTACTCGGCCTGCTCGGCAGTAGGCAGCGGGTCAGGATTGCCGTAGGTAGTGCTAGGAGCGCGCTCGCGTCGCGAGTCCCCATCATAGTAGACGAGCTTGGGAGAGGATTCGACCTCCCGGTCAGGGAACGCGCGTAACAAGGGAGACGGGACCTGGACAACGTCGGGCAGATGAGATTTGACGTAGCGGGCTCGATCTTCCTTTGCAGGAACAGCAGGGGGCGCAGTCTTGTCGGTCGGGTGGCGGTGAATGGGTTTCATCGCCGGCATAGACCCTAGCATGTACTTGAGGCGGAGCTCGTTGTCGTCGAAGTTGCGAATTTCTCCGTAGACTGAGCGCGGGGTGGATAGCGGTGAGAGAGCGCGAGCTCGTCGCTGTTCGAGCTTAGCTAGCACGCGTTCGCGGTACTTGCGGTGGACGTCCACTGATGTGGTCGCCCGTCGATGGAACATGCCCCACGCAAGGTGAAGGGCCGTGATAGTGATACGCCCTGCGGCTGAAAAACGCGGAAAAACATACATAAACAAGCGATATATAGTCGACTTGGTCTAGATTGTATGGGCGGATCCGTATATACTGCACCGACGTCGCGACTGTACAACGGGCGCGTCAGGGGTATTTTATGACATAGAAAACCAGGAGCGCCACGCTTCCTAACCTTCAATACAACTAGTCCGCAGCATTATCCGTCTGCAATGACTGACCAAGGATAGCAGCGAGCTCTTCGGCGCCTGATCACGAGTCTGTGCGTCGTCGATGACATCCTGCGAGTCCTTTGGCGGGCCCTACTTCATCAAGTAGCCGCGCTATACGCGCCTCAAGCCTTCAGTCCTCTTGCCCTGCTGTGTCAAGAGAATCTAGATTATTGTTGGGGCTCGGACAAGCCTTCCTGCTGCTCGCCGTCATGCGGAGACACGCAGAGCACCGCGCAAGCGGAACTCGAACCATCAACGTGACTACACGTGACTTCGGGTCCGAGACCGGAACTTCGGGTCCGAGCTCGTGATCTCGGACATCGCCGAGTTGAACTCCGAACCGAGCGTCGGCGCCGCCAAGCGCTGTCCGCCCCGGCAAGGGCGTCACTCCCCGCGTATCGACAGTCTAGGCTGTACGCTCCCCGCCGCGCAGGCCTCTGAGCCGCGTCGCGCACAAGGGAACGGGTGGAAACCAGGCCGGCCTTGCCTTGGTAAACATCAACAAGTGTGGAATCGCGCCCGGCATCGCGGCGCAGGAGGATACCCGACCAGTCAACCGCTCTACCGCCAGGAACCGCAGTCATTGCGCGATTATTCGGACAGGAGAACGCGCGGATAGGCGTTATAGTTGGATTTTGACTCAGAGATAGGCATTGTGTGTTACCGCGCGGTCTGGATGGCCAAGACGACGCGTTCAAGTTATATACCGAGACCTACATACGATTCGGGGACTTTTCCCGCCCCGCGCAGAGAAGCCCTAGTACCTACACACCACACCAAATAAACACAACCGCGTTAACCCGCACTTTACACATCATAAAAAGCCTGAACTTCCGAGCGCATTAAACCGCCTTGTGAACTTCAATCAAACCCGAAAGCGCTCGTCAGAACGCCGAGACGTCCGATTGCCCCACTCGACTTCTCGCTTCAGTCCAGCTCGTCTGGAACTGGCATAAACAACACAATCTATCCCCAAGTAATATAAATACTCGGACTCGCCCGCTCTCGTAGCGCCTCCAGTCTAGCGTGTTCATTGCTATCGTGGTTGTTGGTGTTTGGTTGTGTGGATCGTCTAGCTAGACTGTACTTCGCGTCTTTCGTGAGCGTACGATCCCATCATCTGGAGCCCACCGCGAGGGGATATTTCTGTGTTAGCCAGCAAATTACTAGCTGCTGAGCGAACTTCGAGAGTCATATTAAGGCCCTCTCCAATTCTACTTGTGTTTTCGGGTACCGTCACGACGGCTCCTGGACAAAAATCCAGCCTCTCGGCTCTAAGACCGGACTGGGATAGCTCTACATCCGAGCGATCCAAGAGAAAGGCCAAAGAGCGAGCGCGTCTAGCGGAACAAGCCAGTCGCCCATCGCGATCAGCATCACCCCGGAAATCCGTTACCCAACGTCCGGTAGAAACAGCCAAAGCGGACGACACCTTACCAGGTGCTTTCCCTGAGGACACAGAACCGAACCCTCCTTCTCCTACTTCTCTCTCGGTCGCCAACGACCTCTCTGCTTCATTCTCTCGTCTTTCCATCGAGCCCGAACCGGCCGCGACACAGGGCCCACGCGCTTCATCCCCCTTGAGCTCTCTGTCCGACGATTCGACTCCGTCTCTCTCTGAATTATTTCCGACTCGCGACCGTACCGAACCAGCCTCGACCGAAGAACCGGCTCCGACTCCAGCTTCCAGAATCATTCCGACTCCGAATTCGACTCCAGTATCTCGTCCCGTTCCTTCTATTCCGACTTCGACTCCTACTTCTATTCCCAAACCAATGTCTACCGCTCGCTACTCTCATACGGCGTCTGACGCCCCTCGCTTCGACGAGGATGATATGAGCGGCTTGCCCTTGTTCCTACGAGATCTTGATACATACCTCAAAGATCACGGGATCACGTCCGACGCGGACAAAATTGCTAAGGCGCCTCTTCACGCTAAAAAGACTGCTACGCGGATCTTGTGGGAGGAGCTGGCGCTCGCATTCAAAAACAAACCATGGGACGACTTTGTTAAGGCGATCCTGGAGCAGTACCCTGAAATATCGGGTCAGCAGTCCGGAACGCTTGCAGAGCTCAGCCAAATCTGTAGCGAGTTCCGCGGACTTGGCGAGCAGGATGGGACTCGTGGAAACGTGTTCCTTCGTCGCTTTGCTCCGTGTATTCTCAAACTCGGCCGTAGCAACTACAAGATTTCGAATTTTGAAGTCTGCTCGCGCCTCGCCGCTGTCTGCACGCCTCAGTTCCTTGCGACCCTCGACATGATGTTGGTCGGCAAGTCGAGCAGTCTTGAGGTACCCGGAAAGGAAAACGCAAATCCTCCGGAACGGCCAACCAACACATCCATCGTCGAAGGAGGTTACCGATGGGAAGATATTGTTGCCACCATGCGCGAAGTCTGGCGCCGCGGTTTCACTGCAGCTCAGAACGCCATTGGTGACGCTTACCCTGTCGCGTCTACCCGGACCTCCGTGGCCTCCGCCCCGCACGCAGCATCCTACTCGGGCGACAGTGAGTCTCGCTTAGTTAAACTCGAGCAGGATTTCCATGAATTTGCTGAGCGCGCTAGCCAAGGCGAAAAGGAAACTAAGACCGCTATACGTAGTCTACAGTCCGAAGTTCATACCGAGCTTGCTCAAGGACGTACTAAGTCCGATCAGAACTTCGCGATGATCCAAGAGACGATTCAGCGCCTCACCAACCAGCTGTCGCTCAACACGAACAGCGCCGCCCCGCAAGGCGGTGGGTTCCGACCCAACTACCCTGGATCGTTCAACCG